TTAGTGCTAGGTTTTATTTTCACAGTGAGGTATCTGGGGTTGTGGACCAAGAATAGGCTCATTCCTGTTATTTGGTGAAGTAAGGTACAATTTTGCTGTAGAAATGATTTCAAATGAATATTTGGATGATTTAAATAATGTTACCATAAAAGCAGGCTTTCAGTTACTGAGAACAGAAAGCTCCTCTGGCTCAGTCTTTTCTTGTTGAGCGTGAAGCTGGTTTTCACCAGGAAATCTGAATGTGTTGAGAAATTCCAGGGAGTTGGATATATTGTATGACTTCAATACTACACATCACAATTTGTTTTTGCCATATGAGTACAGTGTCTTTGAAACAGGGTGATGGTATGTGCTGTGAGTGATGGGGTCTGTTGAAACAGGAAAAGCAACCAGAGTGAGGACAGAGGATCTAAAAGGCAAGGTTTGTGACTATTGGAATAAAACACTAATTTCCAGATCTAATTTAATTACTCAGATTCTGTGAGTTGTGCACTTGAAATTTGAGCAAAATTCTGATATAGCATTTAGCATGAAATGTGGCCTCTCAGCCACTTTTTAAACATTGTTTAAGCAATGTTTATTCTATCCTCTCACATATCTCACATTTTTATTACGCTAAATTTAATAATATATTTATCAGCTAGTCTGATAACCAGCTAATTAAAATCAGCACTTTTGCATTGTGCTAAGAGTATACCTAAGGTTGCAGTGGCTATTTTCTACACAGTAGCTCATTTGTTTGTAGTACTTGGGAAATTTCTCACTTCTGTTTGGAATTGTTCATCCTCACTCAAAAGCTGAAGAAAAGCTAAGTTAAATGATAGTCGTCATAGACTCGTAACACTTTCTTGCTACATGTGTGTGTAACGTGTTGTGGTGGTGGTGGTTGATTTTTTTAACAATGTATGTTGACCTGGATTATGAGCAGTTTTTTTATATATATCTGTAGAATGGTACAGATTCAACCTTGGTTACTGTGAGAAGAAATTATGTTATGGAGCAGTCCAGTGTTAGACGCACAATTAACAATAGCCAAAAATTTCCATGGAACAGTTTAGAGATCTCAAAATAGTGTATTAGAAAAAAGCTGCTGAATTCAGCCAGGTTATCACTTTGTCCTGTAGTATAAGGTACCGACTAAGTATTCTTCAGCTCTTTGTATCTTGTTCTAATGGCATCTTAATAACGTTCTGATTAAATTGTGCAACTTAGTGAACCCCATGTAGACAGAAAGATTCCTATGTTTGAATGATGTGTCAAAGTGCCAGGAAAGATTTTGCAAATTAACATGTCAGCATTGGATGTGTCCAGACTTCCAGTCTCATGTTCTCATATTTGTCACCTACTCGCCATACTCTTTGGTAATCTCTTCTTTTCCTTCTTGATAGAGTGCTTGCTTTTGTATATGATCTACATATGATTGTACAACTTAAAAATGTAAGAGGTGTTTGCATAGGGAGAGATGGCGTGCTGTGTATCGTAGGGTGCAGTGGATTCTGGCTTCATGTTGTTGTGAAGAAAGTATCTTTGCATGACATTTGGCTGACAGTTTTTCTTCACCAGTCAACAAGCCAGCGAAAACCAGCGTGTCAGTTTCTGTGCCACAGAAATGCATTAAGAATTCAAGTAAAAATTCTGCAATTATGGAAAAAAGAAATGTAATGAGATTACTTTGTCAGCTGGAAAAATCCACAGATCCCAAATCATGGTTACCTAGCATGGTGAAACTACAGAAAACAGCTGCTATGGACTACTAAGACAGTTCTCTTGAGATGGGTTTGAATTTGTGATGTGCCAAAGTGAGTAAACTGCTGAGAGCACAGTCCTGACAAAAATGACTTTAAAGACCTTGAAATAACAGGAAAAAGGAGAAACTACTGATGACTTGCTGAAAAATCAGAGATGACAACCAAATCAGGAAAGCAAATAGATATACAGTTTCCAAGCTTTAAAACACAGTGCTGAACCTTTGAGTGTTCTCAGCTATCAGTACACACTGATATTTGTGCGTGAATTTGTATGTGAAGTGACTGAATTGGTGTTTGTGTTGTTTAGTTGTATTTTCCAGTTCGATTTAAATAAGATTTAAATAAGAGCACAATCTTTAATAAGATTTGACTAAGAGCATTTTTGTGTGGAATAACATATTGCCCCAGATGACAGTGGTTAGTGATCAGAGATACTGTAGTAGAAACATTGTGCAAGAGAGGCTGTAAAAATACCAGGCTTGGTGAGCTTGCTTGCTTCCTCTCCACCTTGGCTTGATCAGTTTCTTTCTAGTATCTTTGTTAGTTCCTAAAATAAAAAAGAGAACAGGAGATGCTCTCTGTGATTTGATGTAATCTCTGTTGACCCTCTTGCTCCTGGCTGCTAAGTCTTAGTGATAATCCTGGCATGACTCCATGTAAGTGCATGCTGATCTTCTAGATAGTTGTCATGTGTGGTCACTTGTTTTGCTAATGCTTCACATGTGAGTCTGTAAGAAACTATTTTGAAATAGGAAAGGTGGACTATAAAGAGATGGGTACCATTCTATTCACCTAATGTGAGATCAGTACATGCTACAGTGATAAAGCATGTGTTTTGTTTTGTTTTGTTTTAGGGAAAAGAGATGATGTGCTCTAATATTTTCCAAGGCATCTAAAGGGAGCATTGAGGTCTCATGGTTTTCTACTGGGATTTTAGCTATCCTATTGCTCTTCTCTCCACAATTAAGCACTGTTATTTCAGAATGAGACCATACAAAGATGCTTCTGGAAAAGAAGTCTCTGTACAGGGAGTTAATCATGTATAGGTAATTCATAATAATTCTTCATGTTGACAAGAAGTATATATTCTGCATTTTAATTGACATTCAAGTGTATGTAATGAATCTTGCAATGATGTGCATTGCATTAATTTTTAGATGACAGAAGTATGCATCAAGAAAATGAGAGTCTATTTTGAAAATGCTGCTTGCATCATCTTAGCCAGAAACAAATGAAACATGCTTATATGGTCCTATGTACCATCTGAGCTTTCAGCAGTAACTGGGGACTTAACATTTTGGCCTTTTGTGTTACTCTGTGTGAAAGAAAAACCAAGCTATGATGGATTTATCCCTAATAAAAAAAAGAAGTTGTAGATGTTTGTAGTGTCATTCAACCTTAACAACCTCTTTAAAGTATGAAAACAGATTATCTCAGGTCTGGCATGTTAATTTATTGTTGTAAAGCTTGAATAGAAATGGAACTAAAAAAGGTAATCCGTGTGTCATACTGTGGGCAAAGGTATTTTTCCCATCACTTTCAAGAGTGTCAGAATTTACTGCTTGTGAGTTCTAGTGTTTAATCTTGATTAACGTTTTTACCAAGACAACTGTTGTTTCAAGGACATTTAAGATCAAAATACATATTTTGTGTGTGTGTATGTATGTGTGCACATGCACTGCATGGGAGACAGCACAGTTACCATTTAGTTTTAAATGGCATCTCTTTTAGGTGCCCACTGACATCTGCCTCTGTGTCATCTGAGTGCTTGACTGTCTCAGGCCTGAAGCTATAAGAGCTTTCTGTTGGTGTGAATTCCTGTGCTACCATCCTTTTCACCCTGCTGTGTTTTTAGAAAGGCAATTTGTTTTCTTAACAGCAAAAGATGTGGAAAATATGCTGGAGTTTACTTAAAGGGATTTTAAAGGAAATATTTCTATCTTGATTTGTAGTGCATTTGTAAGAAGAATCATTTTAATACATCCATCTGTTTCAGATTAAAATAAGTTGGAATCAGTGGTTGTTAGTATGGTGCAGTAATCTGGGCAACAGAAATAAATGCTTTGTAATGGATCAGGTGAGTGGAAAAAAAAAAAAGCTTTGTTGATCTGCATTAATAAGTTGGAAGTGAGAAGCTTCCAGGTTGTTCCAGGTAAAACTGTGGTTCTCATCAGGTGCTTGTGGCAGAGAGGTGCAATTAGGTGAGGAACACTTTCAGTGCCTGGCTCAGTGGTGTGCAAACCCTCTGTGCCTCTGTATCCCAACCTCACTACACAGCCTTGAGTGGTTACCTATATGCCTTCTGAAAAACACTCCTACTCTATATGCTTACTTGATGTGTGGAGACTGCTTATTTTATGTACAAAGATGATTACTCTCTGTATGTGTGTTCCCAAATGCTAATTCTGTTTTATACAGTTCTGTTTTATACAGAATACCTCTATCACACAACTTTCTGTTCTCCATGGATTGTTGGTTGCATTAGTGGCTAATTTGTCTGTGTGTACGTGTGTAGGCGAATAGCAAAGTGCATGTTAGTTCAAATAGCCAATGTGATTTCATGGCATAATTGTTGCTGAATATGAGAAGGCGGGAGCGTTTTGTGATCCCTCACTTTAACGATACATCACACAACCTAGCTCAAGAACAAATTGCATTGCTGATCCTATTCCCCAGTTTATCATGCCCCAGTTCGTGTTACAGTAGATAAAATATAGTAGGACATTCATTTTTCTCTTAGATGTTATTTTTTTTTCTCTTAGATATTATTATTATTTATACCTCATGTATAGCCAGTATTTATGCATGAATGTGCTTTGTAGTCATGAAGCTTTGTACATCAAAAACAAATCCCAAGCTGATGCGTGAGCATCTTAGCCAAAAACAATTGGTTAATTATTTTCCTGCATTCTGAGCACATACATAGAAACCAGAAAACTATGACTAGGAAACCCGTTGCTTTTTATTTTTCCTTGTTGTTAATACTAGTTACTGTGATTTCTGTCTTTTCATTACTTCTTGCTAAGTTTTAAAATTCAGCAGTTATTGCACCATTTTGCTTACTCTGACAGGATTGCTGTTTTGCACCGGTGTAGCCCTGTTTATGTATGTTAATTAGTGCAGATCCAATGCAAATTCTTCACAGTTTTATTCACCTGCAGCATAACATGTGGAAACCTTTCACTGCGATGAAATTATTATCTCTTTTAAGCAGGAGCTAATTAGAGATTTTTTCTGCTTATCTTTTTGCAGTCTGACAGCAATGCAAGCTTTCTTCGAGCTGCCAGAGCTGGCAATCTGGACAAAGTAGTGGAATACCTGAAAAGTGGAATAGACATTAACACATGTAATCAGGTAAGATAATTGAAGGGCAAAACTATACGAGGAAAATGCAAGTCATACAAAATGCAAGTCATACCCTCTTCACCAAACTAGAATTTTCAAGCTAGATTACCTCATGTAGATGTCATAATTCATCTCAAGCTATGTCTTTAAGTTTGTTCTTCAGTAGGAACTTTCTATATAGAACTGTTATTGCCTCTATATTGCTTTTAAATAAAGCTTTGCATAAGCCTTTTGGAGCTCTTCTTTCTGACAGTATCCTGCAGGTTTGAACATGTACATTACTGCTATATGTAAAATCAAAATTTAAGGTATTTTCTGGTATTCTAAGGCTAATGGACCTACTGTTGTGAAGTTCCAGTTCCAACTGAAACAGTAAGCACTAAATATAGCTGTATTCCTGAAAATATTCAATTTATGAAAAAAACAAACAAAAACAAACAAACAAACAAACAAACAAAAAACCCCCAAAAAGTCCTAGTTGCAAAAGTTACTAGGTAGTATTCTAGGGAGAGGGAGGATAATTTTTTTTTTTTTTTTTTTTTTTTTTTTTGTGTGTGTGTGTGTGACAAATTCTGCCAACAATTTTTTGTGTGCTTTTAGTTACTGCTTTTTATTGAGGGTATCCATTTTATTTGTGATGGGGCATGGATCCCCATGTAATGGGAATTTCTCCATTTTAATGAAAGATATTCCTTTCATTTCAGGATGCGCGCTCATTTGTATGATGGTAATAGCAATAACATAAGAAAGAAATTACACAGGTTGCTCTGAAAGTGATGCTTCCTATTTATTTCCATGAAAAGTGCAACAAATACAAAGAGTATTGTAACACTGACAGAGCAAATATTCAGCTACAAAATGCTGTTTTTCAACCTGGTCACTGCCATTAGCTATGTATTTTTTTTTTGCCAGCAGTTAATAAGAACCTGCATGTTGTGCTTGTAAAAATCTACATGGCCATCCAGAATATGGCTTGCCTTCCACATTGATGTTGCCACTGCTGTAATGCACCACTCACCACCTAACTGTGCTCAAATCCACTGTTTAGTCTCTGTAACTATTCAGTAAGCGTTGATGAATGCCAATGGATGCCATTTTTTCCACATGGAGGAATTCAGTGACACACCTTTTCTTCATACACACTTCCATGTCAGACATGATTTTGTCAGACTGCCCTTCTGCTGTTATCTGTCACACAGCAGCAACATGGAATAGGATGTTGATGGGAAGGTTCAGCCTCCTGCTGTACCACTACCATCCGCTTCTGATGTCATGGGTCAACATAATAAAATAGAAGGCATTACCTTCAGAGCAGCCCTCATGCAAGTCTAAATTTGCAAAAGAGTTAGAATTTTGTGTATTCTGAAAGAAATTATCTTGGCCTTAATTGTAATACGTTAATACACATTTTTAAAAAATACAGAAAGAGTTGGTGTTTTCAGTTTCATACTTAGTTTTTTTTGGACTTATTATTGCTTGGATTGCTCATTAATTTAACATGAATGCTGGAGGAATGGGCTACAAGCTGAGTAATTCGTACCAGATAAAGTAGATCTTACTAAAATAAATAAGTAAATTTGCATGGTATCTTTGAATTTTGTTAATGTATTTTTATTGAGATTATTTAGTTAATATTTTGGTAAACAAAACTCATTTTATTTACTTATACGCCAAATTTTAAAATCCCTTCTTCAATTCTTTTTCTGTTGTGTGGCAATGAGTTCCAAGTACCACTAAATAATCTAAAGACAGAAAAGTGATGGAAAGTAGGTGCTTTTCCATTGTTGTTAATCTCTAATAAGTATTTCCTTGGTCTGCTGGTTGTTTAATGCTCAAATTCTGCCCAAATCTTCATAAAATATTAGAAGGAGTTTTTTGCAACTGTATGGTTAGTGCATGACCTCAGATATTTTCAGTGGGTTCTAAAACACTTCTTCGTTTTCAATCTAAGGGAAACAAAAGGAGGTTTAGTACTCCACAGTGCCAGACTTGTCCCTTAAGAGCAATTGCTAGAACTGTAGAGGTAATTGTTTCACCTAGAGCAAGATTGGATCCAATTCAGAATGTTCACTCCTGTGGCAGAGACAGCACTATACAGCCTTACCATTATAGAAACACTTGATCACATTGGAAGCAGTGTGGCCAGTCAACTGATTTTCCTTGGTCTTTAAGCGCACCACCCCGCGTGGAGCACCTGATCCCCAGTGACCTGAGGTGAGGAAGTCCATGGCTTCCCCTGCTATTTTTGTGATTTCTCAGCCCATAAAGAAACATCAAGTGGGAAGTATTTTTAGCTGACTAGCGAACATGTGCTCAAGAAGATTAACATCTTGAAGCTTGGTTGTAGAATCTCTAGTCAAATGGTAATTAGCATTGCAAATCTGATTACCCTCAGGTCATTAAAGAAACTATGATTTTATTCCTTTTTTTTTTTTTTTTTTTTTTCCTCCAAAAACAATTTTGGAAAACTAAACTGAGATATGTTTTTATCACTGGTCAAATTTCTCTGTAAAATATATTGTTATGTCAAAATATATTGCTATGTCTATAAAAATATACTTTAATATTCTGCTTGAACTACTACCTCCTGTTTCAGAGGAATTACTATCGTAAAAAAACAGAGTTAAAATTTCAACATAGATATGACTGTGATGGAATATTTTGGTTTGGCCCTTTTGTAAAATGAGTTGCAAAAATCCAATTATTTCTGCTTCGTAGCCCAGGACCCTGAGTTTGTGATGCTTAAGTGATTGGTACCATCCAATTTAATAGGACTGCAACTGTTACTTAAAAGAAGCATGCAGTTAAGTGTCTTGACATTGTAGCAGAGTCAGGGGTGTTTCTTTGAAGAGGGGTTTGAAAGCTCAAGCTTTATGATGACTACCTCCTAGCTCTTAGTCAGATTTGATCAGAATGACCACAAACTAGACAGTATGTAGAAACTCTGGAAGTAAAAATGCTTTTAAAGTTTGTCTTTAAATACATAAAATCAGTAAATAATTCAGTAGAAATTTCTTGTTAGCTCTATTTGTAATTCATGCCTCATGAGATGGATGAAATTTCAGTGCCCAAGGTGAACAGAAACTTCAGTGAATGTTTGCTTTGGTAGCTTATAGCATCAGGTTCAGCCCACTGGAAGAGCTGTAAGGAAGAAGCCTTTGCCTGGTGAAAAGAAACAGGTATCCAGGGGAAGTTTGTTAGCAGAGGATAAGACTGAATGTGCTCCTGGCTGTTGTCAGAGTACACCCATAGTTCTCTTGTACTACACAAGTACACTTGATCTCAAAGACCTTGCCTCAGACTTTCACCACATGGCTCACAGCTTACTTGTGGCATCATTATAAAGCAAGCAAAACAAGAAACACAACTCTTCTTCAGTAGCTCTGATACAGAGTTGGTGTTATTTCAGGAATTTTTGCCCAGAAAACAATAAGATGTGCACCCAAGCCTTGTCTTTGGGCCCAATGCATCACAGGAGAAGGCTGTGAGCCTGTGTTGCACTGTTGGGGCTGCTCTGAAGAGACCTCGTGTTGACAACAGCACGTCAGCTGTGCTGACAGAAATTTGGAGTGTTAGGTTTCTAAGGTTTCTTGATATTCACAGATTTTTCAAATCCTTAGTTCTCTAATGAATTAGCTATATGCTCAATGTTAAATCCAATGTTATTTAATTTAAAAGTGCAGCCAAGTGCTAGTCTGAAGAAGACTGTTTTCCTGAACTGCAGCTTTATACTATCCAAATGATATCTGTACCATCAAAAAAACCTCAGTGAAATTCATGGCTCCTTACTGATATGTACTGACATTTGAACTAGAAATAAGTATGCTTAAAAAAAAACCCAAACAAATGAATTATTGCTGCTGGAGAATGTCAGATAATGCTGACCATGATGCAAAATATCAGAACTAATTAAAAAAGGCCCACAGCTGTGGCCACTGCTTATTTTCAGAAAAGAATAGAATTTTCAGGAAGAATAAGAAAAGAAATAATCTAAAGTATTTTGAGGCATTATCTTCCCTGCTGAAGAATAGCTGCCAGTGATTAGGCAGTGTGTGTCAAAGGGAAGGCTGAATATGAGAAGGGAGAGATAAATTGATATCACATAGGTGAAATCAGAGCCAGATTAACTGCAAGCAGATTCCACAAATGCAGGAGAACAGATGCTCTGTAATTTCTTAGTGTATTGAAACAGGAAGGTAGTGTTCCTGGATGGTGTAGGTGGCACCACCACCAACTTTCAGGGTTTTTGGCTTTTCAGTGTGGTTAAGATCAAAGCTGGATTTATACCTGGCTTTGTAAGGGTTAAAAATAAAAAAATAAAAAATAATAATAATAAAAAGCCAACAGTAGCAAAAAACTAAAAGCTCATACTGATTTGTTTTCTTGTTTTTATTTGATAAATAATATTACCTGATGTCTGAGTTGACTCAGGAATGTTCTAGAATATGTACAGCATTTTGAGCTTCTGACAAACAGTACAGAGTAGAAAATACAATCCTTCAGACCTATGAATAAAACAGATGTCTGTTTTGGATTGCCTGAGCCCCTGTATGCTAGGCAAAACTTCTCTCTGTGCACTGGATAAATCTGTTTTCCCTGAAGACATTGATTATTCTCTGGATCTTTTCACGACTCAGTGATGAGCCTCCTGCCTTAACAAGACTAGAAAACATGATTTCTTAACCTTTGCCATCTATCATGGATGTACAAGTATTTTAGCTTCTTGGAAACTCCAGTTCTAGTGCCATACAAAAAATTCTGACAAAATTTCTGAAGTAGGTACACTTAGCTTTCCATAACTAAGACCTTCAGCTTCCATTGATTAAGCATCGCTGTTGTATTTTAGATTTTATTAGGGGTGCAAGCAGACTCCTGTTCTGGAGGACAAGAAATAAGGCATAAGAGCTGCCTTACTCAGGAAATGCAATTTATTTTTAAAGTGAGATATCTGCACAGTCTTTCAAACATGAAGCCCTCTCTAGTCAGTTCTTTTTCCCCCTCAGTGTAATGCTATTTTAGATGCTAGTTCAGTAAGCAGTAAATAACGTTAAGAATAAGCTTTCCTGAAGAGACAAAACAAGATGCTTTCTTCAGTTTTAGTGTTGCTTCTCAAACCCTAAATTTTTATTGAGATCTGTCTTTATAGATGACAAAAGTATTTTCCCTGTTTAACACTTTTCAAAATTTGATGGAATTTAATACTTCTGAGTGTACTGAATGCAGGGATTATTTTTTAGTTAATCGTGTTTTGTTGAATGCTAACTTCACCTCATATCACATCAAATTATTGTGGATTTTCTTCCTTTAATCTGGGATTTGGCACCATCGTTTATTTGGAAATCGGTTATTCTGATATTTCGTTGTATCTGGAGAGATTTAGAAATGTCTGTGGACAAAATTTCATAGCTTTAAATAAAATCAAATATCTAAGTATTTTATATCTAGTATTTTATAGGATGAAAAACTGATAGACATTAGAAATCTGATTCCTTTAGAGCTATTTTCCAAAGGTAGTTCGGGATATGGTTACCATTTCTTGTTAATATAACAAGAAAAGTCCTTGCTTCTGAAATGTTTGAATCAGCACTCAAAATATTGACTAGGTAAACTAACTATAATTTTGCATACGTGCATACATGAAGCCCTTTAACTTCAGCATTCAGGTCTAACAAAATTCATAGGTCTAACAAAAATTAGACCCACAAATCTGGCAAGACCAAGAGGTAATCAGCTGTCACCTGTGTTTTGAAACAGAATTGGTGGTACAAAATACAGGGCACCTTAGTGTTACCATCCCTTGTCTTTGAGGTTTGTCCATTTCTATGTTATTAAAAATGCCTTCTTGGAAGGAAGTACTTATGATGGATTTTGACATTTGTTTTGATTAAGCCTTCTATGTTCACAAGGAGTGTATGCAAAGTCTGATACCTAGGACAGAGGAGAGGTTTTTATAACTTAGATATTTTTGGCTTTTGTTCTCATTTTTTTGACTTCTTTCTAATTTTGTTGGTGTCTTTACTGCTTTAGTTTCAGTGAGAGAAAGCATCAGCTATTAATTACTCTGTCATTTAGTCCGAATGGAGAGCTGCTGACATTCCCACTAGTGCTAACTATAGACTGAAGTAGCACTATAGTCATAATGAGGTCAATATTGTCACATGTTGTTAACTTAGTAGGTTAATTCATTTTTGTGAATTCGTAGGCTACAAAGTAATATAAAAGGAGAATTTTCATAATCTGAAATTATTTCTTTTACTTTCTTTCTTTTACCACTCTTTTTTTAAAATCTCTTTGGGATATTTTTAGGCAAAACTTCAACAACTTTTTGAGTGGAGAAATCGACGCCAAGTTCTCTGATGTGCCCTCTGCCAAATCATTCTTGAAAAGATGCTGACCACATGTGCTCCTCAATTCCACAAGAGATTTATTCAAATGAGACTATTTGCAGCAACCTTAGACTGACACCTATTAAAAATGGAGAAAAGTGTTTGACTTTAACAAAGATAGCAATGCTGCCTGAGGATCCATGCAATGAGGATCCAGTCCTGCTGCATCTCAGGTCAAAGGCAAATATACTGTGGAATTCCTCGGATGTTTTTCAGGCAATAGCAGGGAGACTTGGTGCCAGTCTGATGAGAAAAGTTGACTGATGTTCCTTGGACCTTGCAAGAAATTTGGAAGCTTTTCTGTTTAGTGAAAATCTGAAGGGTAATGCTACAGTGCATGCTGAAAGCAACAGCGGTGCACATATATGCTGGTAGCTCCCCATGGGATGTGAAATGCCAGAACCTCTAGCTTAATGGCAGAGGAGCGGAAGGACCAAGGGAATCAGGCTCTGTAGGGAAACATTTGAACAGCCAAGCTTGCAAGGCTTTCCATTGTAGTCTTTTATGAGAGTGAGGTTTATAAATGAGCCTCCAAAAAAGGTATTTATGTTGCATATACTTTGTGGGGAGAACCAGTCTAAATGCCATACAATTTTGCTCAGCAGACAACTGATTTAATCTCCCCCCCGCCCCCACCCACAACTCTTTGGTAGGCATGAGAGAGAAAATGGAAGTGTCAGAAACCTTTGTTTTTCTAAAATACAAGAATGCAGCTGACAGGAACGGAGGAGTTGCATTGATTAAATCTGAGCTTCCATCATCATAAGTAGCAGAGATCAGCCTTGTGGGCTGGGAAATAATTACAGCATTGGTGCTGATTACAGAGGAACAAAGCTTGCTTTAAGGCTTCAGTCCTGCTGGCCCTTTGCTTTCTTTGTACATGGTGCATGTTAACTAAAGTAACAGCTTGTTCTCAATGGTTTGCAACCAGAGGCATCTGAGTTCACATAACTTGTGTAGGCTATGCAATGTTCCAGGTGCTGTCTGTTGTCTGTGGAATTCAGTCTGCTTCCAAAGAGTGAAAAAAGGCTGATACAGGTGGTAGAAACACATCCGCTGTGTCCAACAGTGGGGTGTCAGATTTACTGTTCATACTCTCATGGAAGGTGCTGATGACTGAACAGTGCTACTATTCAGGTGTAAAAACAGGTCTTTGTTCTCAAACAAGAACACTGTGTATTTCTCACAAAATACCACTCCTAAACTAAGCTACTGCAGGCAGTAATTATGGTTATGGTATATTCAGCAGAGATTAAAAAAACAAGGCAGATTAGGGCTGCCTGAAATGTTTTCAGCTTGCAGAAGAATGCACTGACATGTGCAGTGTTACTCATCCTGATAATTATGGTCAACCTCATCATATAAATTTCAACCAAAAATATATTCTTGATTCTGAGCATGGCACTACTGCTGCTCTGGGGCACTGCAGCTCTATGGTGGGACTGTTCCTCTGGAGTAAGAAAGATCTGGTTATTGCTGCTTCACTTTCATAATGGGATTTGAAACCACATTTCCCATTGATGTTTACTAACCACCAAAGGGTATTCTTCTTTGTCTGGCAGCTTGTGAACGCATCCTTCCTTCAGTTCCTTTGCTTTCCTCATTGCAGTGTGTTTGTACTTCTGAATTTGACCACAAACTCTGCCTATGTTGCAAACATGAATGTAGAATTAAAAATTACTTCAGAAATGTGGCTGGATCGCTGTGCCTGCAGCCATTGGAGCAGCTCCCATTAAATGCCTCCTATGAAGTGCTAAGTGCTTTAAAATCCCACTGGGAATCATGAGCTTGAGCTGCCACTGAGGATGGTCAAATAAGACACCAGAAAGCTGCTTGGTTATTTTATAATTTAAATGTCTATGAGCTGCTGTGAGACAAGTATAATAACTACAACATTGCTAAACCTGCTGCAGGTTACTCAGATACTCAAGTATTGCTTATGATGCTTGCAATATGGAAAACAGCAGAATGCTTGGGGGTAGTGGCAGTATCCGTTGCTGTCACCTGCCTGATGCACTGTGAAAAGTAACAGGATTGTGAAAAGTAGGTTGGAAACTCTGTTATAATAGATTGTCATTTTATGTTTTTCCCTTGGATGGAATGGGGATACTAGGAAGAGGAGGAAGATATAGTTTGCATGGACAGAATTAATAGAAGATAAAGTATCCTATTTAATAAGAAAAGAATTTAGCTTTTATTTTATTGTTAGTTGGGGATTTTGATTGTATTGAGTTTATTTTTCTATTTTTTTTTTTTTTTTTAAATCCCAGCTCTCATTTAATTAGATTTATTTTCCTTTTTGAGTGAGGTTACAAACCTGCAAAGTTTAGTGGAAAAAAAACAAAAACAAAAAAAAAAAAACAACACAAAAAACCAATGACCCAGCAGATAGACTACATTAAAGATCAGTGTAATTTGGAAACCACTATCAACAACTGTTTTGGTTTATTTTTTTGCTACCAGTCTTCTAATTGATACCTGATATCTTAGGGGTAGGGTTCAGGACAACTATATCAGCCTGGAGTTATCTTAATTCAAGGCATGTTTTGTGTAAATTTTGCCAAGCCTTGTGTTTTCTCTATGGTGGTAATACCTCAATGAAGATGGTTAAAGCTACAGTCCATAGAAAAATGTTATGCATTCAAATTTTGAAATAATGGGCTCCATGGAGATACTCAAGGTAGTAGTCTGGGGAAATGTGGAACTGTAAGAATGGAAGGATTCTCTTAGGAGTATTTTCTGGATGAAAACGTGGTTTGTTTTGATGCCTTTGTTGCTATGAGAAAAATGTTATTGGAGAAGCTTTGTCATGTACTGCCTTGGCTTAACAAACCAGGTCCAAAATATCTGACTTATGTAGGCAGTCAGCTCAGAGATGTAATAGTAGTCCAGCAGCTAATCTTTTTATACCAGAGTAAGGTGGGAATGTGTATCTTCAGAACTGATATTTGTAATTGATATGGCCCTTGTGCTTACAGAATGGGCTCAATGCTCTGCACCTGGCGGCTAAAGAAGGCCACGTGGGACTGGTACAAGAATTACTGGAAAGAGGGTCGGCTGTGGATTCTGCCACTAAGGTAATTTACATGTCTGCACATTTATTCTTGAAAAGAACAAGTCAAATATATGGGAGAGGTTTAGAAAAAAAGTAGTGAAGTTGGAAAACAGTAAGTACTTCACTTGTTTATACAGTATTGCTTTTATATTGTATACTGTGAGTCTGTGTTCTTGGCTGAGGATTGTCAGTAGTAAAAGCAGACAGAAATAACTGTTTATACAATCTGTTTGCAGGGGAAACATTGTACAAGTTTCAGTGATGCCAGTTTTTCATTATTTCCAATGATAATTGCCCATTACATTCAGAGTGATTATAGCTTAAGATGATGTGTTTTTTCAGATCTGTGAAACCTGATAAATGAGTATATAATATCCAGAGCCTTTTTACTCCAGGGCACAGTGTAGAAAAAACTATGAAAACTTGTTTTGCCTTCAATCTTTCCACAGACATGGGTACGTCCAAACCATTCAGTCAGTAAGCTATTTGTCTGTGCGTAGTAAATTCTTCGTGATGCGCCAGATTTTTTTGCTTGATTGATGAAATGTTTGATTCCTAGTGTCTAAGTCTAAGTGGATTCACTTAACACCAATGTGGCTCTTTGCTTAATGATTTCTGATGCAAGGGATCTCCATCAAGGTTGACAGTCAGATCTTCCTTCCATTTGGGCACTGCATTAGAAAATCTCACTTCACATGTGGTTCATAGCTTGAATTTTGGGACTCCCTGGTTTCAGCAGCTTCCTTGTGGGTGTTATTGCTGGAGCTGAATGCAAAAAAGCTGTTAGCCCATACTAAACTTTACCCAGAAGTTTGTTCCAAACCCAAATCAAGCTGTATAATTTCAGTTAAAATTTTTGTTGGAATGTTAGTGTTACACAGCCACTCCAGAAATCTTCATGGCTGCAGCTAACTGTTCAATTCCTTGTGATGCTTATGGAACATCATGGAATTATGAGGCAATATTATACTAAAAATTGAAGGCCTGCATGCTAAATATTGTGAAAGAGCTGGTGGTTAAAGTGATTTCTCAACAAAAAGGTTAACATCTTTCATCTTTCTTCTCTTTTTAACAGAAAGGGAATACCGCCCTGCACATTGCATCCTTAGCAGGACAAGCTGAAGTTGTCAAAGTTTTGGTTAAGGAAGGAGCCAATATTAATGCACAGTCTCAGGTATGATACTATTTTTCCTTCTCTCATCTAAAAGTTACTTGGTGAAATTTCTTTACTAAAATAGATCTGAGATACCTGGCAGAGATTCCAAATCTTTCCATTGTTGCCACACCCGAGGAATCAGTCAAGTTAAGCCTTATGTGCCGGTCACTGTTAAGAAAATAAATAACAAACTGAAGTTATGTACTTGTTGCACTATATGTAAACTTACATTTTTTTTTTTTTTATTGAGATCTTTTAACAATTTCTAGTGTGCTTTAAGAAATAGTTGCTGAAATTCTTCAGAATGTCAAAATGTTTCATCATATGTTTTTCTTGAACTTGGTTTGCAGTAGTACTGGTCATAATTTCTTAAAGTCTTGATTTATAGAATTGCTTTTCATGGTTATTTGTTGGCTAAACTCTTACAGATAACTCAGGCTTCTGAAGTCATTCCTTCTATGATTAGCCAGCATTTAAATCAAAAGTTTAGAATACACATTTGAGTTTAGGTAATTCACCTTGTCCTGGCTGGCAAACTGACTACAAAAAGAGCCCCACTTTTTTGCATTGAAATGAAGCTTGTGTACTCTTCTAAGACGTACTAGACAAGAAGGAGATGTTGCAAAGGCTGACTGATGGCCAGTTCTTCTCAGTCTGGGCAAGGCTGTTGTAGCAGTTGCCTCCCTGTTGAGATTTCAGAGCTGTAAACAACGTGCTTGATTTTTAGGGAACCACATACTTTGAAGTAGCTAGATGATGGTTTCTTTTTCAAGGTAATTGTTGCCAATTCCTTTGTCCTTCCAAACAGACACCATACCAATTACCATAGAGCAATTGGTCAAATTATCCTAATGTGTCTTTAAGAGGCATGTTATTTCCTCTATTTACAATTAGGAAGAATTTATCAAATTGATTGTTTGTAAATTCTCCTATGATAACTATGAAGAAATGAACAGATGGTATAGATAAGGACTATGCCAAGCATACAGAAGCTGCCATCTTTATTCCAGCAATATCTTTCTAAAGCATCTGATCTGGTTGTGATATTCTCAGAAATAAATAATCACACTAAGAGCATTCCAGTTGAGTTTCAGTGCATCATTCAGTGACTGTAAGTACCATTTTTGCAGTTAAAACAAGTGATGCTTCAGGGGTAGATTAATTTCAGATTGAATTTTCTTAGAGCTTACTATGTGTAGGCTAGATAGTGACGGTTAGCATAATCTTTCTGGGATTCATGTGCAGAACAAGAAGAGAGTAATCTGATTAAACAATGTAGCTAGACTCTACTTTGGTTGAAGAGAAATTCAAGAAACAAACTAGACCTGTGTGTAATTTTTTTTTTTCAATCCTAGTCTGTTGAGCATTCTCTTATCCATAAGAATGAGAATACAGACAAGTTTCTGAAAGGATTTGATATGTTGGAGCCCATCTTAAGTCTGGCTAGCTTCATATCCTGCTAGCCCAGACCTAGGAACCTGCTTTTTTTTTTTTTCCCCCCATGTGCAGTACAATCATGTAAAGTAAATAGAGGCCAGTGTATGAACTATTAAGTCTATAAAACAAACAAGTATGTCAATACCTTTGTAACACTTCAGTCCAAGACTTTCTCTGTATTTTAAAGTTAATTCCATTTTTTGCTGAAAAGCTGCTGTTAATGCGTTCCCTCAAGACAACTGATGGTCAGTTATTCCCCATCCTCCATTTCCATTAAAGATATGGAGTACTGTAATTCCATTGCTGAAAAATTTGGCAAAATCCTTTCATAATGAACTGATTGAATTAGTCTTGCACACATTTTTCAGCTTCTCATTGTATAAGAAGATAAACAGATGTATTTAATGTTAGGATTTCAAGCAAAGTAAGAGAACTTATGGTAACAATGATAACTATTATGAAGAATAAATCCTCAGAAAGTCTTCAGAACCTTCAGAAGGTTTTTCTTCACACTTGAGAAAGAAATAAGTTGTTTTTCTAAATATGAAATCTTGCTAGAATTGGAAATTGTTTTTACAGGTATTTTGTATACTATCCTAGTTTTTAAAGACGCTTATTATTAGCACTGAATGTTCTACAGAGTACGTGCATACTGGTTAACAGGCATTTGCTACTTGAATTACCACCCAAGTGGGATTAATTCAGCAGATAATGACACATTTGGAAAATGACGATAGGCAACCTGGCATAAGCTCTTCTTCCTGCCTACTGAAACCTGCATCTACATGACAGGAGTTACTTTTCAGAGTAATGCGGAAGGGATGTGATGTTACCAAGATACTCCACAAAACATTTGCAAAGTCGAACATCACCATCTCTAGTGGCTCGTTAATTTTTCTAATTTTTCTCTGCCAGGGGAAGTATATGCGGGGGGGGGAATGAAAAGGGGGGGGGGGAATGAGGGGGTTCTGTGGAAGCTCCTGGTTCACATTCTGCGATGACTTGCTGTTTTAATGTGATTTCTTGATTCTGGGTGAATATAATGAACGCTGTTGGCACCTGAATACTTGTTGTCTAAGCAGTTCACCCTGTAGCTGCTGGTGGATGATGTAAATAGCGATAGAGGGCCTGTACAAGAACGATGATACCTAATGGATTGTTCCCCACTGCTGCTCACTAGCTCTTTCCAGACAGAATAAATTCTACTATCATATATCTGTTCTGGATTTATGCCATATTGTCTTCATTTAAAAAGTCTCACTCGCTTGAAATGGAGAGTGAGTCCTTAATGCAGTGTGATCCAGCTGCAGGCCTTTTGGTTGCATCTTCCTGCTGCCATTTTGCAGAAGGATAGTTTACAGTTGCTTGAGGAGCTCCAATCTGGGCAGGCTAAGAGCTCCTTCTATGCCTCCCGCACTCAGCCACAGTGATCCTGACAGAGCTGCTGCCATTTCCCAAGTCTCTATGCCAGCAGTTTCTGCAATTAACCTTCCTGGTTTGGTCTTCCTACCCCTGCTACCAATAGGAGCAGCTATTGCTGCTGCCAAGCATCTTCAGGGAAAGCTGTCCCTGGTACGGATCATTCCTTCATACTGTTTCCTGGCAATAGCCCTGTCAGTAGCACAACAGTAAATGAGTGTGAGTAGAGAGAGTTGTATGACCTAGATCTGTCAACTTAGTAAGTGTTGGATGCACTTTGGTAATATCTGTTGACAGCATTCAGCATTTTGAATACTATTTACATGTGTGTTTTCACATATGTGTTCCTATGTAGCTAGTGATTTGAATATGAATGAACAGATGTTGCCTATATTATGAGTGGAAAGAATGCATGGTTTTGGTCAGAGCTCTGAGCAGACTGCTAAGAATTTGCTTCTAATACTGGGTTGCCAGAGACTTCTCACGTAAGATTAAATTAAAAACTCATTTTTCTGTATTTCCATGCTCTATGAGGTTCCCTGATTTCATAGTTGTGTTCAAGAATCACATGCATCATAGACAGTAAGTTTTAAAATAAAAACAAGAAAAGCAGAATTCAAAGCTAATGAAGAATAAAAAATGTTGAAATATAAAAAATGATTCAAGCACATGTAAGTACAGCTGGTTGAAAAAGGAAAATACGAAGTTATAAAGGAAAAGGAAAAGAGAATTCAAGCATTCAGTTTTCAAGAATTCAGTTCTTTCCAGGCATACTCAGATTACATACATATAATTATTTATTTATTGGTCAGGAAATATGTAATGGGTTAAAAGACTAAGGAAAACAGAAATCTTAATTGGAAAGAGCTTAATTAAGAATTTCTGAAGTGAACAAAAACAGAAAGGTATGGAATAAAAACCTGAGAAATGGACTGAAAGGCTCAGTTGCTCCTTCTTATGTTTTTTCTCAATTCCATTTTAAAAAATAGACGCTATATCATCACTCTTAAATCTTTCAAGAACAGTTGTTGCTATTGAGGGTGTATTAAATTCTTTCTTTGGTATCCCTGTTATTCACACTTATTGTTTTTTTTTAGGCCCTTGCTAAGCACTCTTTGGTGATAGTGATTTAATGCCAATGAAGTTACTCAGTTTGCTCCATAACTTCCTCCTTAAAGAACCTGGTATCTGTCACGGTCATTTTCAGTGATGAGAATTTGCCATTGTGACAAAAGTTCTACGCTGATCATAAACTGATGGATAAGAAAGTATTCTAACCACAATTTTTTTCAACTTAATGTTTTCTTTTCCCTTTTCCAGCTAAATTGCATAAATACACTGGCCTTTATCAAAACTTGTCACAGATGACTTTTGAAATACCACACTGATTTTCCTGTTCCTTATGACAACAATATAACAGAATTATCTCAGAAAAGGCTATTTAAGAACATTGCAACCACTGAGATTACAAACTCCATCTGTGCTGAGACTGTTAAACACTCAGGACTTTGATTTTATGGATTTTAGTTTTTATTAGATTACTTTGCTTTGCCCTTCAGTTTTATGATGGCCTTCAGAGCCATTATTTTGTTCCTCTTCCTATCTTTTTACAAGCCTACTCCTTTTGAGCTAACACGTCATCACGTCTATTTTTAGAAAAGTAATTTCTATTTTGATACAAAGCCTAATTGCACAGTGATTACTAATTGAATGACTCCATTTTCACCTGCAAGCATATCATTTGAGAGCTGACATCTTCCCTGAGTATGTTTGAGGGAAATGCTGAAATGAGGGCAAATCCAGAAATGACCACAGAAATCTGGAATTTAATGGTCCTTTTCAGCACACCAGCAATTATTTGGCTCAATTAGTCACCTTTGCTACAAATGTTTTTGAAACAAACAAACAAACAATCCACATCTATATAGGGAATATCCATAAAGCATCCACTTGGTTGCCTGCTCATGGTTCAGTGTGCAGATGTAGATATGTACTGTGTGCAGTTCTGGGCTCCCCTGTACAAAAAAACAGGGATCTCTTGGAAAGAGTCCAGCGGAGGGCCACAAAGATGGTGAAGGACCTGGAGCATCTCTCCTATGAGGAAAGGCTGAGTGAACTGGGTCTGTTCAGCCTTGAGAAAAGAAGACTGAGAGGGGACCTGA